AAAAATTTTCTCATGGTTTTGAAAATCTAATACAAAGGTCCTCGTAAGTTGTTGAAGGTGGAAATTAAAAAAAAATTTGAGCGTATTTCCGCAATATTTATGAGCGTCAATTTTGACAAAATTCGTAAAAAAAATGAAAATTTGAAACATTATTTTAAGTTAAAATTTCATAAAAATTTTCTTTTTTAATACAAGATTTTAAAATTTAGTGCAAGATGCTTTATAAGTTTTCCTACCTTTAACAAAAAATAATAGTATCTACCGGCAAATCAAATTAAATGTTTATGAGCGCTTGAAGTTGAAATTTTTACAACATTGGATATTCACTCGATTTCTCGTGTAGCGATTTATTACTTTGTTATAAACTTATAATCCAAAAACTGTAAAATCTTGAAATTTACACCATATGTTTATTTTATTAGTAACTAAACCTATAAAATGTTCAAAATATTTTGACTCACTTTAGCCATTAGCGGACATTTTAAATACTCAGTTTTTTTTCATTTTTTTTTTCTTTCTATAAATGGTAATACAATTTTATTGGTTGGGTCAAAAAGCATGAAAATGTAATACAAGTCTCTTGATATGTTGTTACAATAGCAGTTGAAAATCTCAGAAATATATAGGCCCGATTTTTTTTTATGAGCATTTAAAGTTCAAATTTTGACAAAATCACATACTAACACAAAGAATAAAGGGTTTTAGTCATTTTGTTGTAATATTTAAAAATATTATTCGCGGGTACTTGAAATTTCTAAAGTATATTTATTTTATATTGTAATTGTAATAGCTAATGTTGTTGATGACTTAAACTATAAACAGCTTATAGAATTATAAATACTTCTTACACTTATAGATTATCCTATGACTGTGTACTCTGCAGTTATATACCATAGGCGTGGGCACGGGGGAGGCCGTGTATGCCTTATTGGCATCCCCCGTGGAGTCATCTTTATCATAGTTTATGGTTGTAAATATTTTGATTAAAATTTAAACATTTTGGTTTTTGATAAAAATATTTTTATTTTTACCTACAAAAGTGTTTAGAATTGAGATGATATCTAATATCAATTAGATTGCGAATATAATACAGACATACAGTACTGTTGTACTGAAATTATTATGGTTGTGATGCTCATCTTTCCTATTGATAGTAGATACCATAACCTTGATGTTGGCATAATAGCTTGATTATGTGTTTATGTGAAGTTTTCTATAGTTTACGTTGTTTAAAGGTTATAACACAATTGAAGATAGTATTATTGACGAGTTTAAGAATTTGCACCCTTTTGAGAGAATATTAGAACTCTAATACTATTTAATTTCTTTATAAAATTATAAATATTGTTAAATATTTATTACATAATAAGAAAAAATTTTAATTAAAAGCTTTATGTATTACATATAATATATTTGTGATAGTTCCGGATTCGATACACTATAAATCATGTCCTTTGATCATCATCTTTTTATTTATAATACGCAGAGTTATTGTGGAGCGATTTTTTTGCGTTGGGTTGGGTGTTTTTTAAAATATTGGCATCTCCTGCGAAAGTCTGAAAGTCTGAAAGTCTACGCACGCCTATGTTATATACCTATGTTCAGTTGTAGTTTATAGTTTATATTTTGTATGATAGCACCTCACCGCTTTAGCACAGTAACGCCCTTTATCTTTATCTCGGAGTGTACACGTCTTATAAGGCCAAGGTTTATGTTTATACAATAATAATTAACAAAATAATCGACATATTATTCTACGATCTTAATAATTGTTGTATAACTAGTTACACCGATTATTACGACAGCAATACATCATTTGAACAATAATATAAAATATCTTAGAACGACAAACCGTCTCAGCTCAGAATCGTTTTTCGTATACGATGATTCTACATCATTGAATTCAAATTTAACACCATCATCCATTACAGTGACCCGCTTATGTAACTCACTGTACAGCAGAGCGACATCCGCTTACCCACTTTTTTTCTAGTTACATCTTAAAAAAACAATTTTACATGACTTGCTGTAAAAATTGAATTTATATTTTAAATTCTGAACTGAGCGAATGAATGTATTGATGTTACAATGATGTGTACCAAATTATTACCTATTTTTTCTGTTTGTTACCATATTTTACGTACAAACATCACCTAATCTATCTATTTTGTGGAAAATTTGAAATTGAAATGTCTATAAAAAAATATATTGCAAAATAAATGTATTTTAAACACTTTTGAGTTGCTGTACTAAAAACTTACAAGTAAAAGTCTTAGTTTTTCAATTTTATGATTTTTTTACTAAAATATGATTGGCCTATTTCAAGATCAACGTGTTTTGTCAAAGTTTGAACTCAAAATTTCGAATCTAATTTTGACGGGCAACTGGCCCTTTATAATATAAATTAGTTACGAGTAAGTATACAATAATTATTATTATGCAAGTTTATAGCACAGAAAGTTTATAAAAGTAAACCATTTAAGTATGCATAAAGAACATCAATAGTTGATCTAAAAAATATCTATAATTACCAATACTTATTTTCTATCCTGTATCTCGATAAATAATTAACAAATTATTGGCTTACTGTATGTTACTCTGTTCCAACTTATGTAATAGGTAATGATGGATTATGGCAATATTTAATAATATTATATTAAGACCCTATATTATATTATAATCTATAATGCCCTAGTCAATAGGTCTCGTGAGCACTAAAAATCAAGAAACAGTGCATTATTACACCGTTAAAAATAGGTGTCATCTAAAAAATATGCTATTAAAATTTAAAACTTTATACAACTACGGGTTATTTTAGACAATATAGTTTGCCGTGAATCGTCATGTATATCTCCCCCCCCTGCCCGTCCTCGCCACAACCTTTGCCACGGAACATTTCCAAATAATTATTGTTATAAACGTCTTATCAATGTTATAGTATATATTACATCCACGAGTGCGACGCAATCGTAATTTTATATTATGATTAAGTGATTATTCAAATAATTAGTGACGAATCGCATATTTCGAGTTTGTGTATTATTTTATAATAATATCAAGAATAATGATGTTTAAACGGCTTGCGATTATCGGGGACGTTCCCGTTTATTGTTATTATAATACGTATGACTAAGCACTATGTAATGACATGGATATTATGATATTATAATATCTCAATTTCGCTTGTTCGAAGACGATAAATCGAAAAAAAAAATTGTCAGCTGCGCGTGTCCGAACAACGACGATTATTATTATGGTCGACGTCGTCCACGTGTGCAGTGTGCACTTACTACCTACGACTTCTGCAGCTATAACACAATATTAAAATATTTCCATAAATTGTGCTGTGACCGATTCGAACGCGTTCGGTACACTGCGTCTGTTGATATCGTTGTATTTATTTTTTTTTTTTTCCTAGTGTTACCGCGAGCACATTAGTATATTAAAATAATATAATTATTATTTATTTATTAATCATTAATCATTAGTCGTAGTTGTATTGTTTCAATCGATATATTTGTATATTTTTTTTATTTTCGCTGTTTGCATTTGTTTACGTTTAAATTATATTACAAATGTCCGTGTCCTTGAGATTTGAACACAACTTAGACTACGAACATAGTCGCGTCGTACTCGTAATTTAATAAACAATAATATAACATTATAATATTATGAGTTATGGCTTTAGCGAGAAAAAAATCTAGCGACCAACTAGTTTGCCGTCGACAGTCGATGAACTACGTTGGGCCTACGCGGTACAGGGTGACTCTGGACGGAATGTCTGTTTTTGTGATTCAGTTTTTGGTTTCAATTTTAATTGGCTTTCTGCTCGGAGGCGATTATGGCTTTCGGAGTTTGAAAATTAAACTTATTATTGATATGAAACGTAGAAATGGATTTTTAAAAACCTTTTTATCATAACCATAAAAATATTGGCCAATGAAATACAATTTACAATTTTTATTCCGTTCAGTGGTTCAGTCTAATGATTGTAGGCGTTTTGTCGTGGTAGGTATTTGAAAATGTTTGCAAAATGTTAGCTACACCTAAAACACACTAAACCATTTGAGTCGTATCACGTATATATGAATAATACACGTCCTTGCTTACTAGTTTACAACAGATGAGACTTGATAAAACGACAAAAAAAAATAACAATAATACGGGCAATGGGGAGGGGCTTTGGCTTAGGCCCGAGGCGGTCTCCCTCAGCGTATACGACACTGATCAAATGTTGGTAGGTACAGATCGTACAAAATATTATGTTATAGATTGTCATGTCAATGTTTTAAACTAATAATAATTTTAAAAAAAAAATTATAAACTTTTTCATGAAATCGGTGTGCATTCGGATAAAATAATTTCTTTTCAATGATATACTACAGATCGATAGCATTCCAAAATGTGTCAGTTGTATGTACCTCGTCGTTTTCCAAGTGACTGCTACTGAAATAGATATAATATATTATGATATTAAATATAATATTATCGTAGTTAACACTGATTAAAACCGCCTGGTCCTCTGATTATTTGAGCTCAAAGTGATAAATAATAATTTTAATTAGCATTTGCTAATATACCTGCTACCTACCTCTCAGTGCTCGAATATCGTCTTTAATTTCTTCTACGACATTGTACAATATACGATGTATAGTGCGCAAAACCAAACAGACAACAGTGAACGTCAATTATATTTTTTAAGAATTTATCGTTGTTTGCAATTTGATTCCTAAAATAATTAATTTGACATAATCAAAGTTCCAAGTTGAAACCGTTGAAGCCTAATATTTGTCTAATAACTATATTATGGCGAATAAGTAGAGGTTTATATTTTTTCAATAAACTAAAATTATTTGTCATGTACACATCTTTATTCGTGTAATTCTTTACTGATTTTGTGATTTTTCTCCGAACAACGGCACAGTAAATATTATATACATGTTTGCAAGGAACAAATCTATAAAAAAAAAAAAACAAAAAAAAAAAAAAATACAAGCAGCAATTATGTAGTGATACAGACTTATAATCCAATCAGAATTATGACTAACAAACTGTCAATACGAGTTAATAATAAAAAAATAAACTGCGTTTTTTTTAATTAAACGCTCTGGTATCGAACATGATTACAATGTTTATCATAATAATATTACTAACGACTATCCAAACCATTTATAGTTTATATTCTAAATTCACTTAAACCGATCTGTACCTACACTGTATTCGGGTTCCGCTGGTTCATCGATTATATCTATAGTCGCCGTCCAATGCAATACCTATAATTAAATCAGTTTTAATTACCTTGCTCATTTGATTGTGTCGATACAAGATTATTATTGTAATCATTTTTTATTATTATTATTATCATTATCATTATCATTATCATTATTATTATTATTATTATTATTGAAGACTTCAACTCAATTTTGGTTTTGACGTGTTTCAAGAAAAATAGCCGAATACTATGAAATATGACAACACATATCGCGCTGGTAAATATGATTTACGATATGGTTATAATATTTTGCTAATAGATTTGTGTCGGTATAAATATTTAAGAAATTATGGCTTGTAAAATAATATTTTTTATTCTTACTTATTTTGCGTATTGAGACAGAATGTCAATGTGACACATCACAGTAATTATGTAAAATATATACTACGCATGTGCTTGAAATAAGTCATTTTTTTATATTCTTTACAGTTTCAAATCTCTAAATATTTATCAATAATTATTTAGTTTTAAAATTTTAGTAAAAACATTTAATTCTTTGCACGTGTTAAATGTATTATTAACCGACTACGAGTGAGTTTTAAAATTTAAGACTAATAATTACTATTTCAATTAAATTAAATTACATGTATAAACTATAGTTACAATAGCTATTTATAATTATAAATCGCTTAAAATATTTTAGGTGCACCCATGACGAAATAAATCTTCACAACGCGTTATGGTAAAATATTTATATGTGCAGGTACCATAAACGCGGTGAAAAGAATATTTAAAAAAATATATTTATGTATTATTTATATATTTGAAAAATAATTAACCATACCTACCTATTACAATATGACCAGGTATGTTAAAACGCGTTAATATGTTTATTGTAAAAATATTATTAATGATAAACTAATGAATAATTGGTTGATGGTTGATAATAATTGTAATTTAAAAATGAGAGTGATAAAATACACTATTCACTAGACATTAGTAACAGCTTGTTTAACAAATATAAATAATTTTGTCTGAAATGATATCAACTATAAAAACATGTGGAAAAAGAAAATGTTTGTTTCATTTCGGAATGAATATAATATTAAAAGTTCCATAAGACAAAATTATTAATTAATAATATTGAGTTGGGCTCATGATTCCTCAACGCAGTGTGCTATGTATAAAGTGTATAATATATTATGAATTTGATAATATTATAAATACTTTGGTGGCCAAAAACTTTGCTCGTTTTAAATTTAGTAACTCAACAAACGGAAAATGTATAGGTTCAAGTGTACAACAATCACCAATCGGTAAGGTACAACAAAAGGTAAACTTTATAGCATATGTACCTATCCAAGCTAGGCTGGTACTATGTAGGTGACCATCGTGTTCGTTTACCCAACCATTTTAGATACTCGACGATACATTTTCGACGACTGTGTGCCATATTTTAATCTCACACTCTAAAAATATCCGAGATAAAATTATTCCATTTCGTGATTATCAATAACCGTCATACTACCTGCTGTCAAATCAAAGTAGTATAATCTAGTAAGTCGTCTATGATCCAGAAACATTGATTGTTCGTGTTTTCGAGTTGTGACAGTTCAGCAAAATCTAATTAATCCACGTGATTCGTTTATTTTCCAACAGCTGTCTACACATTGCCAATTTTTTACACCAAAAATAAATGTATATTGTCATCACAGCGTGTTGCTTTTGTTCACACAAGACAAAAAAACGCCAGTCAAGTGACCTGTTAAATCCAAAAACAGTAAAAATGTCATGTATTGTTTGCTCTTCAACCATCGTTTTGAATGTTATTATTATTATTATTATTATTATTATTATTATTATTATTATTATTATTATTATAGTGATTAAACTACGACTTACGAGCATATTGTTATGGGCCCGGGTCGGAAGACGCTTTTGAAATATTTTACCTTATGCGGTGTCATAATATGACATAGACGTTTCGTTGACATTGTTTTGTTGTAACAGATAGGTAGATTATGTAATAAACCTCATTTTTTGTTTTGTCTCGCTTTATATTAGTCGTCAAAGGCAATGACAGCAACAAACACACTATATTATTGTATACATAATAAATAGGCATAAATAATTATGGATGATAAACGAACTATATTACCGCAATATACGCACATATAAACTAACTATAGAGTATAGGTATAAAATTATACTGTGATTGCATAACACAAAAATGAATTACTACTTGGGAAACCACTAACGAGGAGTTTGGTAGTTATATTGATCGTTGATGCTTTTCAGTCATGAGTTCTTTAGATTTTCTACATGATTTTGTCTAGACCAGGGGTCAGGAACCTGCTGTTCTTTAATATGCAACCTGTGGTTCTTTGGGAAATTCCCACTAATATTAAGTAGATACGTTTTTTTGGGTGTTATTGTATTTAATTAAATAATATTATATTTATATAAACAATAATAATAATAATAATAATAAATTAATGAAGTAAAGTTTTTCTTTATTTTCTAAATTTAATGGCGTATCATTATGTTTTTAATGCCTACCAATAATTGTTCAATGAAATAACAATACTATCTCGTTCTTATATTCTATAATATATTGTCTATAGTCTATATTAACAACTACAACTAAAAAAAGGGTCGTTCAAACCTGTGCGGCTCCCTGGACATCGTGGTTTTGTAATTTTTCTAAAAAATGACTCTTTCTGACGAAAAGGTTCCCGACCCCTGGTCTAGACCATACACTCATGGTGAGCGATGACACGATGACGCCTTGTAGTTTTCTCGTCTATTGCAGCTTGGTGAATCACTTAAACTCGTAAACCCCAATGTTCCATTTATGTGCAGGTATTGGCATCTTCTGCCTTTTCTCTGCAGCCCTCCAATCCCATAACTATAACGATTCAATATTTATTTATTATTGGTACATTTGTTTGCATTATAAAGCGCACGAAATAATGCTTACCAACAGACATTCAAAACAGTATAAAAATAATGCAGATGACTAAAGATAAAATTTAATTAAAAATATGAGTATTCAGGGGTGGTCAATTTTGGGCATGTTGGACAAGTCCATCATGTTCAGGATAGGTTTGTTTTGCCGAATAGTTAATAATTAGTATATATCATACACCGGAGCAGGAAATGTAGAGAATTTAAGTAAATTTTCACTAGCGACCTTAAAATCGACTTTCTCTATAATACACCCGAAGCATCAATTTTCAATGCTATTTATGATAATTGATTGCTATCATCTATTCGTCTAATAAAGTACCTACCTATTATAGTAATATTATATTTATACAAATACGTGTGTAATACAATCATAGTTATATTATTATATTATCATTACAAATATCTGTATTGGTTAATACCGTCGAATTCAGTATTGAATGACAATAATTATAACCAAAATTAACATTTTGTATAAACCATTTGAGCACTTATAAGTTATAAATCACGTAGGTATTTTTATTATATATATAAATACCTAGATTATATACTTATATTTGTTTTAAATTATTTTGGGAGCACGACTTATTGAATGTGCTCCAATCAAGTTCGATATATTGGACTGAACATTTTAGCGTTATTATAAGTAAATCCTCGGCTGCACGATTTCGATCACGATAATATGGCCATATATATGTATGAGGTGAAGTTTAGCAATATAAGGCGACGGCAGGCACTACACTTATTATGTATGCCTAAATCTATAAACAAACATTGTTTGCGAATAACAACAACATTCCGGTTGAACGTCGAACAAAATGTTACATTTTTTGTACATTTAAGAATTTCAATTTTAAGTTTTTATTTGAGTGCTTGCCATAACATAACGTATAAAATAACCAGTTTATTATTATGACATTATATGGTATATAGTATGTAATGTACAGGTAGGCTGATTATGTTTATTAAATTATAAAATTACTATTTATCGGCTGTCTTGAACTTCCTATCTCGAACTGACACGTTTGTTGAGATGGTTTTGTTCAGATATTTTGTTACTCTTAACAAAATGTGAAACTAGAAAATTCGTTTTTATCATTTAATAACGTCCCTCGTTAGATATATCATATTGTCTGCGGTGAAAACATGTATATGAAACTTTTATAAACAGAGTGAATTCGAGTGAATTGACCTATAATCAAATTTAGTAGTAAGAATATTATCTGGTCGATGCCATGGTTTTTTTTTTATATCTCAATTTTAAAGCGAGTTATGAGCATTTTAAAATAGTAAATTGTTTGTACATCTTAAAATACTCAAAACTCGCTTTAAAATTGAAGTATTAAAAAAAATCTATATCATCGACTTGATAATATTCTTACTGCTAAATTTGATAATAGGTCAATTCTCTCAAAGATTAAACATAACTGAGTTAAATGAATTATATTCAGAATGTACAATGTGCTATGTTATGTGTTTGAAAGACTGAGACAAAGCATGCGGGTATGTCGTCCTCTTAATAATTAAAAATTAAAAAGATTGGCTCTTGTTTAAAAAACTGAAGTTTGTATTGTTACGGAATCATTCTTGAGTAGTTGAAAAAATTTCAAAGATGCGAAAAACGATCTCCAATACATTTAAAAATTCCAAAAATCTGAATTTTAATATATGCATCATTTAAGCATAAAAAAGGGTGAGCGTGCTTAAAAAATCACTCTGTGTAGCTGGTATTATTTACCTTTTTAAGTGATTTCAGTTAGTTTTTCAGGAAAGCGTTAAAGTTTAAAAGCATTTGTGGTATTTTAAATTTTAATGATTTATTTAAATTACTACATAAAACATTCGAATGTATTAGTTTTTTTTTATATATATATATTTGAGAGTTAAATATTGTTTTGTTTAAAATGTTTAAATTGTCTGTTTGCAAAGAGAAGTCTTCTTATTTTGTTTGACTGAAAAAAAATAGAGATATGATAATAGTTGGCAATGATGCGTTATCAGAGTATTTATATCGATCATTTTTAGAATGCGCTTGGTATTACAATATACAATCAAATGTATGCCTTAATTTTATCTACATTATTTCATTATTCGAGAAAACGAATACTTACTCAAAAATATTATAAATTATTTATAATATTCCATATTATTATTATTATTATTATTGTTATTGTTATACACCTGAGGAATTCAAATATTATTTTAATATTTACATGAATAAATTCATTGATTAGGTACATCCACAGAAAATAAGACAAAAATAATTATCGTACCCATACAATAAATGTTGTAATGGCGGTATAGGTAGGT